GGTGTTTGTGCACCGGATTTGCGTGGGCTAATCAGTCCAAATATATATATATATAAATGAATATAAAATACACTTGCTCATTTACGTGTAGGAGTTTTTCAAAAGCACAAGCGCCTGACATCTTTCAGAATTCTGATATTATTTAAAACAGCAGGCATTCATTTATTATCATATGGAAGCTGAGCAGTTTTTGAACCAAATTAGACATTTTGTCGATGGCATTCTGGTGGCTTTGGTGAAGCTGCATTTAGGTCACAATCAACCATGATTGACTGAATTAGTGTGAAAGAAATAATAGAGGCAGGGAAATTATGAATCATGGTTTTTATGTATTGATGAATAGTTTTTCTGTTGACACTCATTACTTTTTTCCTGACTTTTGGTGTGAGATTACATGCGGACTGTTGATTTGAATTGCTTCATTATATGAGTTCTTTCGTCTATTACTCTTATTTGTTTTCTTGTTAATGTGAAATCAGTCATTATTTATCTTTATGAATATTGTGGGCTAAGTGGAATGTAACTTTTGTATTCATCTTTTCAGTTGAATCTATTCAGTTAACTAGTGGTTTTGTAATGTCATTTCAGATAATTGTTTTGCTTTGTTTGTCTCAGAGAATGAACATTGATTATTGATGACACATTTCTTTCATTTTTATTCCTTTAAGGCACTGATTATAAAAGAATCCTGAAAGAACAATGCATCAGTTTTCCACCAAAAAAAATTAAGCAGCACAAATGTTTTCAACATTGATGATAATAAGAAATGTTTTTTGAGCACCAAATTAGCATTAATGAGCTCAGAAAAAAAGGTACAAAAGTTGTCAGTGGGCTGAAACCTTTTCAGAAGGTAAAAATATATACCATTTAGGTACTATGTACCCTTGAGGTACTAAAATGTACCTTTAATGTACTAATATGTACTCGTTAGGAGTAGGCTAAATAAGGTACAAAGGTGTACCTTTCGAAGAGATACCACCCCAGTGACCGCTTTTGTACCTTTTTTTTTTCTGAGAGTGTACATGTTTGATATTTTGAGCCGATTTTTAAATACGTTTTCATTTGTTCTGCATCTCCTACCAATGAGACGCATGTTTCTGAGTGAATTTATGTTTGTAACAACTTGAAAGTCTAGTAGTTTGTGATCCAGAGTTGTTATAGTAAGCTAAAACCTTTAAAAGAAAAATTTTTTGTTACTTGAAATAAAATAAACGTCAATTGAATGCAAGTTACATATTCATAAATGATCCTTCATTTCACTTCTATTTCAGCTAGTTGTAAGTTAGTTTAACTTACTAAAATAACTAAAACTAAAACAAATTAATACATAATTTATATAAACTATATAGAACACTATATAGACAAAACGATGACTAAATGACAAAGACACACAACAGAATTACCAGACTTTATTACACGGCTCTGTGGAATACTTGATTCTGATTGGTCAGTCGCGACATTCCGGGATAATGTACATCCAGCCGGTTGTTATCTCAGAATGAACCCGTTCAGCCTGATCACCCTGTCGGGGTTTATTCTGAGATAACAACCGGCTGGATGTACATTATCCCTTACATAAATTATACTAAAATAACACTGGTGATCCTCAGTCAGTCCTCAGTCATTCAGGCAAACCACCAACTAACCCCTAACTCAAACACTTTAGCAACCACATACCAACTCCCTGGAAACCATGCACCACAACACCCTAGCATTGTAGCAACAGAAGTTTTACAGTAAAACACTCAGAAATCTAGGTCCACATTATGAGTGAAGGCTTTGCTTGTTCTTCTCACCCATACATGATGAGATAAACACAGAACTTATGGTTAAATAAGGAAGCTTCCACAATAAGGTTCTAAATAAAACACCCAACTTCCTGCATTCCGTAAGTGACTACGGGGCATGTGGTTTTTTGAAGGCTGTTCTCTGAATGGAAGATTAGTGATGAGATTCCGGCCCCTCCAAAGCTCTCTCAGAGACTGAGCTGAGAGGGTCACACTAGGTCACATGTCTCAGGAACAAGAGGAGCTGTCTGTAGAAGAGTGTGAAAATCACAAACCTCCTCTGCCTTCCAAGCTTGTTGCTAGGCTACAGAGGAGGAAGTGGAGTGTTGTGCTTCTTTTTTTTTTTTTGCACTGGCACCCTGTGTCTACCGTTAAGCGGTACAAACATACACCAGGCTTGCAGTGACAAATGACTTCCTGATCCTGATTGTACAATAATAACTGTTCCGTTTTCACAACTTCTACAAAGAGATATATATATATGGCTGTGATCACCATTGTTTGGTTTCCCTACCCTCCAGCAGATACCATCTTAGTTCTCACGATTGGAGAGTTGAGTATAGCCAATGGCAGCCGTGATGATGAAACCACACAGCAATATCTTCCTCACAGCATTTTGCGGCTACAGTTACAATGCATTACTACTGCAAGCTCTCCGATAGCCATTTACAGTCATTTCAGATATAATGGGAACAGACCTCCGTATGCATTTCAGCTGCCAGTCTAGATTAGAAGGGTTCTGTGACCGCATAGTGTGCTTATCTGTTTGGTTTCTAAAAGCATTCATTCACACATAGGCTACAAAAAAATAAAACAATAAAAATCTGCTGATGAATATGACAAAGCCAATCTTTTTAAAAAATTTTTTTTTTATAAGCTCTGTTGAAATCGTGTAATGGTTTTGTTCAGAACCATATTTACTATTTTTACATTATACTGTATGCATACCATAATAAGTACAGTATGCATATATTTTCTGTGTGAAACACTTAGATTGCCTACTGCAGATGTGCAGTATACAGCAGAGTGCACTTTATGGGATACCATATCCCATGATGCATAGCACTCAACTTGATCATTCATTTCCATTTTTAATCTCTTTATTTATTTATTACTTTAATTACAATAAGGTCTTACCAGAAAAAATGTTTTAGAATTTTTATCATATGCATATTTAAAAAACATTTTATTTCATTTTATTTCTAATTGTTAGAAAACTGAACAATTGTTAGAAATCTCTTGCCATGAGTAGCATCAGCTGCTGACATGGCATTAAAATCTCATCTACCTACCTCCTTAAATAAAATTGACTTGACTAGACAGTCAAAATGTAAGACATTTTTACATAAAAATTTGGTCAGCTTCGCTGTATTTAAATGTGCTATATAAATTATTTGCAGTTATAATTTTAAAAATAATTAGTTATTTTGATAAATACAGCTAAGTTTAACATGAAATGTAATGAGGTCATGTGACGACAGTTTGAAACACTTTGTTCTGTTTTGCATATTGTTTCTAAAAATATTGCACAATGTATGGAATATACATACAGTATGTTAATGTTCCATTCTGAGCATAGTTATATTTATCTCTGCACAGTCTGCACTTTTGCGTCTTGCTTTTTTCATGGCTTATGGCAATTGGGGACAGTCTTATCTTACACGTCGTCAACGATCCAGAACTTTTCAGTTAATCTCTGTCAAGATGGCAGATGGTTTTTCCAGTTAGCAGTCGGCCCTGTGAATCTCATCAGGAGAGACGTGGAGCTGTAGGGCACAAATCCATCACACATGCACCCGTTCACCACGTTCACACATCTGATTCACTAATATGCCAGCATAATTTATTACGATTACTCGGATGTATTATTATGATGATTTGCTCATGTGTTCTGTCACAGATGTATTCAAATTAGCCAACATTTTTGTCCAGTCAGCATGTTTTTCCAGTTCAAGCGTTTGGGAACTTCTGTCTTTGAGCAGGATGGCTGAAATAAAGCTGCTATAAATTATATTTAAAGAAAGGAAATAAAACATGCTGCTATAAATTAATATTTATTTGACCTAATATTTACTAAATTAGAAAAAAATTGAACTTGAAAAAAATAAACATGTAAAATAAACAGATTAATAATACGAAGTCTCTTTCAACACTTATCAGATGATGGCAATAATAAAAGACAAATATTGGCATTTTGGTCGATATATTTGGTTGACCACTAGTAAAAATTAGTTATTAGGTGCTCAAAATAGTTATTAGATGCTCAAAATGGGATCAAATGATGTGAGCCCTATTTGAACTCGGTGCACGTCACGCCATGGTTCCTACGCTTCTCTGTGTTTCATAAAATGTTAAAAGTTCCCAACTCAGTGATTTTTCTCATTGACTATGTTGATTTTATATAGCCATGTGGTTTGTCTGGGTTTCTCCACTCGTTAATACTTTCCAGTAGCGGTTGAAGTTGTTAATGAGCACTGGTGGGACTTGTATGCTGCTCTTTCCTCATGTCCTCCTCTCTTTCCCACCTTTTTTCGCTCTTCCCCTCCTTCTCTCACCGAAACATCTCCTCTGCTCAGAATCAAAGCGGTGGGAGTGTGTTGGGTGAGGAGATGAAGTGTGCCTAATTCATTCTGAAGAGCACACACTGGGTGACTGCCGTTCAGATCAACGCACTTCTGCTCAGATCTGCTGCCGTATCTCCCGCTATTGTCCTGAAACGCGGGACCTGCTGAGCGCGCAGATGATCTGCGTCCGCAGTGTCTGTTTCTCTCGTTTCTGGTTATGAAATAAAATTGAGCTCGGGGGAAGTGAGGAACTTGACAGGTAAACGGGAGGGAATTGGGGGAGACCCGGGACAGTGATTTCCATTTCCACATTCCTTCGGTTGCATAACGCTTTTGGAGATTCGTCCAATGCAAACAGAGTTGTCATCTGGTGGCATTGTAACACACACATTCACAAACACGAAATGGTACAGCCAAGAGCCGGAGATCATTCACACAGGTTTTTGAGTCTGATTCAATCATTCTAGGAGGTGTGTGTGTGTGTGTTTTCCTATGCTGTTACTTAATGATGCCGCATGCCAGAGAGGCTTACGTCCACATATTCTTCTGCCACAGATAGATCTCATTACCACATGTTCAATAATGCTAGTATTATGTTTGTATGATTCTCATGAATGATATTTCTTCGCTCTTATGTTTCTCTCTTCAGGGACGTCATGTCAAGACTGGCCAGCTCGCTGCAATCAAGGTCATGGATGTCACAGGGGTAAGTTTCTCTCCATGTCGGTTTCACTTTTACACATTCACTTTTCACTTTTTGCATGATGTTATTTAAACGCAAACAATGTAAATGTAATTTGAGGCAAACAAAGTACCAAGTACTGTCGCCTCACAGCATGAAGGTCCCTGGTTCGAGTCCCGGCTGAGCCAGGAAGCCTTTCTGTGAGGAGTTTGTATGTTCTCCCCGTGTCTGCGTGGGTGTCTTCCGGGTGATCCGGGTTCCCCCACAATCCAAAGACATGCAGCATAGGTGAATTGGATGCTGTAAATTCCCTAGGTGTGTCTGTGTGTGAGCCCTGGGATGGACTGGCCATCCATTCAGGGTGTCCCCTGCATGTGGCCCGAGATGCGGGGATAGGCTCCAGCATGCCCACGACCCTGCAGAGGTCGTGCAAGTTGCCTGTATGTCTGCAGCCCTAGTTATACGCATATATGAATATCTATAGCTGCAATAGACTTCAGCAGATGATTTTGCTGAACTAACACAATACAACAAGACGAAGCCGTTAGCTAACATGACATTTAAAAGATACTATAGTTTAAAAACCTGTAATATTGAGGTAATACATATTAAAAACACAAACCAACACATTCTTACCTGTGAAAGTTTGTCCAGTTTCTCCAGTAATTAAAGGGGTCCTATTATGCTCTTTTACAAAGTCTTGATTTTGTTTTGGGGGTGTACTAGAAAGAACAGGCTCTCATACTAGGTTGTTCGAAAAACGCATTATTTTTCACATTTTACATTATTACAACACCTCTCTCCCCAGTCTGGCATGAACGGCTCGAATAGTTCCTGTATCAAATGAAGGCCCGCCTTCTGAAAGTTTTTATTGTGAGTGACGTTCCAAGATGGTGGACACGTCGACGTATCTGGAGCGCTCGAATGTGGCATCTACTTATACATATCTATGGGTACCAGGGGTGTAACCTCCATAGGCATTGAAGGACCACCATAGAGACACACACTCCCTCAATATTCAGATTATTAGTCAACTATTATGGGATTTCCATATCTGATTCCTGGACAATGCATTAAGCATTTTGGAATTTTTTAATGATGAATATGTTATTAACATTATGATAATAATATACTAATGTTAAAAAATCATGGGGTCATTAAAATTTTTAAAAATGTTTTTGGAAGTATCTTATGCTCACCAAGGCTGCATTTATTTGATAAAAATACATTAAAAAAGGTTATTTTTTTATTAATATTATTAGTGATATTGTGAAATATTACTGCAATTTTAAATTAGTTTTCTATTTGAATACATTCTAAAAAGTAATTTGTTCCTATAATGCGAAGCTGAATTTTCAGCATCATTACTCCAGTCTTCAATGTTTGAAAACAACAATTTCCCCCCCAATTTTTTGTTGCTAGTGGCACAGAAATTACACACTTAACTTGGAAAAATAACAATGACATAATTTACTAAGTAATATAAATGAGGTACTTGTACTGTTAATTATGTGCAGTAGTAAATCATACTGTAGAATAGTTTCCTGACAATGACTCACAGACCAAGAAACATTGTATTTTCTGCTCTGTCTCAAGTGTTGTCTGTTTTATTTGACAGGATGAGGAGGAGGAGATTAAAGCTGAGATCAACATGCTGAAAAAATACTCCCACCATCGAAACATCGCCACCTACTATGGTGCCTTCATCAAGAAGAACCCACCTGGCGTGGATGACCAGCTCTGGGTCAGTCTTCATTAGTTGTTGGCAGAAAGAATCAGGGTTATTTTAGTGTGCAAATGTTTCATTGTTAGTAGGCCTGGGCGATAAAACGGTATCGATATTTATCGATGGTACTCCTTCTTCGATATCGATAGAAAAATTGTTCGATATAGCGCATGATATTGGCACGTACTATGAGTGACGCTGTCTGCCTGTGATGAGGAGATTGTGAATAAAGAATGAATATTAGTCGAATTTAAAATATACATTTGTATTTGAATGTTAGGAGTGCGTCAGGGAGCGTCATCAGTGGCGCGCGGGACGTGGTGATGATGATGTAAGTGACGTTGTTGCGTTTTAATGTTTTGTTAGTCTAGCCCACGAGACGTGCCGCTGCTGCGTTATTCATTCAAAATATTAGAGAAATATAGAAGCTGATATGAAACATTATATCGTTGATACATTTTTTAGCTATATCGCCCAGCCCTAGTGTGTAGTACAATACACTATTAGGGAGCTAAAAGTAGTGATGTTTCTTAATTAACTACTTTTTAAATAGTATGCTAGTAGTTTAGCTGTTTTCAGAACAATGTAGCTTTTTTCAATTAGAGGTAGTGTAGCATGACAACATTTTACTATATATTATTATTATTTTAATTTTTTTGTTATGTTATATCTCAAACACAGATTTGCAGGCACATGAAACTTTAAGTTTGACTGTAGCATAACATAATAATTTGAGGCCTATTTTACTTTAATAATTTAAGGTCTTTCTGGTGTTCAATGAGAAAAATTTTTTTCACACTTCGCACAGAGGTGCCTAGGCCTTGTTGTTTTCATCTCTATGCATTGAACGTAAACTGCCAGCCTCATTTCCTCTGTGGTGAGCTTTGCCGCTGTCTTTGCCCAGCAACATAAAGATAAGTGACACACTGAAGACATTTACTTGCACTGGAGCACGTGGTCAGCACCACCACCCTCCTTTGGGCGTCTTTGTAAAGAAGGATTTCCCTTAGAGGAAAAACAGTGTTGCCAACTCAGCAGTTGTGACTTTGGAGAGTCCCAGAGGCCAAACATATTTAGACCCATCTGAGGGCCAGCTCAAGAGAGCATTCAAAACCAATCGGCGTTTCAGAGAAACAATCATATTATGCTCATGAATTACATTTATTGACTTTTATTGTGCCCCTGTGGCTCCTAATGAGAATAGGGCTCTTTTTATGAGTGTCTTGAGAAAAAAGGTAAAACCAAAGAAGTAAAAACACAACTGGGTTTAGAAGTTTGCATGTCACTGGCCCTTACTAAAACTCTATATTAAGGCAAAGGTAGGACTAAGGGGAAAAAAAGAAACTGCATGGCTTGTTTTATATTTTTATTGTCATCTGGAGACTTTTCTCTGGAACAACGATGAAATTCCCTTTTTTTTTTTTTAACCACTAATACTTTTTCTTGTAACCTTCTATCTTGTCATTTTAACTTCTTCAAAACTTTTTCAAAGTGGGAAAATGAAGTTGTCATTCACAGATCTAGTTTCAGCTGAAAGCGTGAATTTGCATGTATGTGTGAGTTTGAGTGCATCTAATTAAAATACAGGTTCTGCCACTTTAAAAATGTGAGCTGCTGTACCTAAAAAAATAGAACATTTGTATATATGGATATTTAATTTTTTTACTTAAAATTTTAATTTTTTTTATACTAACTTTGCTCAAATCATCCCGAGGGCTGTATTGAATTCCTCAATGGCATTTCACACCATTGTTTTAGGTCTTCAAATTTAATTTGAGGATAATAAATAATATTATATAATAAATCTATATTATTTAAATACAGTGTGTATGTATGTATACATAAGTGTATGTGTGTATATATATTTTTTAAAGATTTTTTATGTTTTTTAAAGAAGTTTTTATGCTAAAGGCATTCTAATATGCTATCTTCATTAACAATAAATGCAGCCTTGATGAGCATAAAAACTTCTTTAAAACACATTAAAAATCTTTATGATCCCAAACTTTTGAACAGCAGTATTTTTACATATGTATGTTTATGTATGTGTGTGTGTAAAATTTGTAAATATATATATATATATATACATACATACATACATATGTGTATATAAGTGTAGCCCAGTTTTCCACTAAATTAGATTGTTCATCATTGGGTTGTTAGATTTTGTCCTAATTTTGTTGACGTGTTGTGTCTGTAGTTGGTGATGGAGTTTTGTGGTGCTGGTTCAGTGACAGACCTGATAAAGAACACCAAAGGAAACTCTCTGAAGGAGGAGTGGACAGCCTACATCTGCAGAGAGATCCTCAGGGTGAGTAGTGTGGGCCACTAGAAGACATTATTAGCTTACAGAAGTGTTATTTTTGAAGAGTGTTTCCTCATTTGACCTTCTCCAGTTGAGTCTAACCTATTCATCTGGTTTTGATAGGGTCTGACCCACTTGCATCAACATAAGGTCATTCATCGTGATATCAAAGGTCAGAACGTTTTGCTCACAGAAAATGCGGAAGTCAAGCTAGGTGAGTTCACACCCCTGACAGCTATCACACAGACACACTATACATTCTGTTATGACACACTTACCGGTACTTTAGAAGAAGCTTCCGTAAATGTGTATGAATCAATGTTGAGGTTTAACTAACTAAAAGTAACAACGATGATAACGTAACTAGAATTTTTGGTAGTGTCTAATATCTAGAAACAGCCTGTGACCCTCCTCTGGAGTTATTAGGGCTTGTCATCGAGTTGTTTGAGTTTGGGAGACAGTTCAGGCTGGTTGCTATGACAACAACTGCCTGCGGTGACGAGGGAAGAGTGGCACAGAGGCAGATGGCAGCATGCACTTCATCAAAGACCTCTCCTCTCGTTACTGCACGCAGACACATTAAGGCCAAATCTTCCCGGTGTGTGTGTGATTGCGTGTGTTTTCAACAGTTGATTTTGGTGTGAGTGCACAGTTGGACCGTACCGTCGGTAGGAGGAACACTTTTATTGGCACGCCATATTGGATGGCTCCAGAGGTCATAGCTTGTGATGAGAACCCAGACGCCACATATGACTTCAAGGTATTTCAAGCGATTCTTAATTACGCTCACTTTCTTCTTACAACACCTGATTGCTTTTGTGTGAGGGTCTTGTTTGGCTTCAGGCAGAGATCCTAACAGCACCGTTTTGTTACAGAGTGATCTGTGGTCGCTGGGAATTACAGCTATTGAAATGGCAGAAGGAGCCCCTCGTAAGTCCAGCACAATGCAGTACATGATAATGTATTTTATATGAACACAGTGATTGCTAAACACAAACACCTGTCTATTTTCTCAGCGCTGTGCGATATGCATCCCATGCGAGCACTTTTCCTCATACCCAGAAACCCAGCGCCCCGTCTCAAGTCCAAGAAGTGGTGAGTCAAGCCTCTCATCATATTGAATATGCACTTCAAATCTACAACTGATGGTAATGAACAGGACCTGAGAGTCAAAACTGATCGGTTTGTTGTTCTCTGTAGGTCTAAAAAGTTCCAGTCATTCATTGAGAGCTGTTTAGTGAAGAATCACAACCAGAGACCCAGTACTGAGCAGCTCGTCAAGCATCCCTTCATCAAAGACCTTCCCAACGAGAGACAGGTCCGAATCCAGCTCAAAGACCACATTGATCGGACCAAGAAGAAGAGAGGAGAGAGGGGTGAGTTTACTTGGTTTCTGTTTGGGCTGGGTTGATAATATCGATTACTCGATTTTTCAATCTTCTTCATTTTGATGAGCCAATATTGATTCTTAAATCCCAAGCTTGATTTTGCTTTTTTTTGTCTATGCCGTTTTCTGTTGATGTGTGAACAAAACTTCACTAAACATTATTTGTAGCATGCCTGCCATCCAATTAATCACAATAAGCTTTGTTCATTGTATTATATTATATCTAAATTAAAAAAAAGAAAGAAGAAAAAAAAGAAATTGAATTTAATAGTTTGGACTTTTAATTTTAACCTTTAATATTACAATAATGTACCAACTCAGGGTTCCCTATATAGTTTACAGCTTTAGTTAGATATTTTTCCTTAAGAAATATTGACATGTACTGTACTTGGTATATAACCAAATGAATCAATATCGAGATTGAAATCAAACTGAAGCAAGAGTTTGTGAATCAGAATTGAACAGATTAATGAAATCTGTCGATACGGCCCTATATTTTGTGAATGATAAGAATTGTAATTTCATTATTTACTTATTATATTATTTTTTATTGTTTAATTATTATATTAATATTCATTTTATTTATTTATTTATTCAATATTATTTTTAGTGAGAGTTGACAACTATAATATAGCTTTCAAAAAATATACTTAAAAATACTTTTCATGAAAATATTAATTTATTTGTTTTTTAATTTATGTATTTAATATTATTTTTAGTGAGAGTTGACAACTATTTAATAACTTTCAAAAAAATTAACTTTTAACAATATTAAAAGTATACTTTTAAAAAATACTTTTCATGCTAATTTTTTACTTGGCATGAAACTTTTCATGCTAATGTTGCTTTGTCACAACATTCCTTATCTGAATCTGTACTTAATCTTAAAGGGGTCATATGATGCTGCTAAAAAGAACATTATTTTGTGTATTTGGTGAGCTTGTAACACTCCAAAGAGAAAGGAAAAATTGAAATCGCATCATATGACCCCTTTAAAAGTTTTATTCTTAAAAACCTACGTCTTGCAGTGCTGTGTGATTATCCGTTTTTTTGTTTTTTTCAGACGAGACGGAATATGAGTACAGTGGAAGTGAAGAGGAGGAGGAAGAGCGAGACATAGGAGAGCCGAGGTACATAGACTTTTTTCCGCTCACACACACAAGCATGTGGGTATTGTGGAGACCTGATTGACTTAAAGATGATTTAACGTCTTCCTTACAGCTCCATCATAAACATCCCTGGGGAATCGACCCTGAGGCGGGACTTCCTGCGTCTGCAGTTGGCCAATAAGGAGCGCTCCGAAGCCCTGAGGAGACAACAGCTAGAACAGCAACAGAATGAGGAACACAAGCGCCAACTACTGGCAGAGAGGCAGAAACGCATCGAGGAACAGAAGGAGCAAAGGAGGAGACTAGAGGAGGTATGAAAAGAAACAGTTTAAAGACTGTGGGTGTGCAGCCATGTTTCTGAAATCTTCAGCATTAGAGGTGTATTAATATCTTTAAAGCTAAATATGTAATCTAAATATATTTATAATGTTGTATTGATATAGTTTGAATTATTTCATGTTATATTATTTAAAGCACTTATTGTTTTATTTTAATATATTTAAAGCTAAATATTTAATCTAAATATATTGTTTATAATATTTTATTCATTTATATTTATATTATTTAAAGCACATTTTATTTTAATATCTTTAAAGCTAATTATTATAATATATTTAAGCACATTTGATTTGATTCTTATTCCAGCATCTGAGGTTGCTTTAAGACCCATTAAATATCAAGTTATTACCCAACAAAGAACCAAAGTTGTTCTGAATCAAAAAATAAGTTGAAAGGTAATAATATTATCATAAACAATATGCTAAATTATTAACAAAAACAACAACAGCAGACATATGGATCAAAAAAGTTATTAGTATTCACCATATTACCAATTAACACATGAATTTGAGTCAAAATCTCACACAGCCTCTGGCATCAACAACAAAAGAAATGGGAAGCACTTTCTTCTGCTTTCATGCATGATTATATGCTTAGTTGCATTTTATTGTTTGCATTTAGCATTGTTTTTCCTTGCAACCCTATCAGAACAAACAGACAATATGCTTTGCTATTATTCCGGTCACACTCAAACACACACTTCCTGTACTCTATTTTGTCTGTGTAATGGCTCATGAGATGGGAGACTCTGAGCTATGATCAGTCCGCAGGAAGGTTACCCAACATCTTGGGAATTCTTCAAACGGGAGACAAAGAAAGACGATGATAATTGAACCAGTAGAGATATTCCCGAGTTATGTGATGTAGGGTTTTCTCAGTAGGGGAGGGAGCAGAAAACCTGTGGGGATGAATCCGGGGGCCCGGCTGGGCGTCAACCTCTCATTCAACACATCTATCTCCCGCTGGTCCACTGTCAGGCCGCCTCATTTCAGCACAGCTCCTGTCAGCAGCCCCTGCTGGGGAAACGCCATTCAGAATGGCTACACGCTCGAAATGCATTGTCTTTTAAACTGCCTATACCTAGTGGTATAGGAAGGAACTACATGTGCTAGTGTGAAGCTGGGCCGATAGTTGGGGTCAGCATTGAGATTTATTTGTAAGAATGGGAGGTTCATTAATGAGAACATGTGTTTGTAATCTCACAGCAACAGCGACGGGAGAGAGAGCTCCGGAAACAGCAGGAGAGAGAGCAGAGGAGGCGTTATGAGGAGATGGAGCAGCTCCGGAGAGAGGAGGAGAGGAGGCATGCTGAGAGGGAGCAGGTACATAAGAACACATAAGCGCACATCCACAATCATACATGGCTACTATTTTTTTTTTCACAAGAAGTTGATGGTTAGAGTTATTTCAGGACTGAAAATGTACATAATTGTGCAACCTGTTATATATTGGTCTATGACTACAAACTAACCTATAATTCACTGTGCAAAAAGAGATAGGGAAGCTAAACCATGCCAGAAATGACAACTTAATTTATATGAACAGGAAGAGAAGAAATGAAGTGACGTGGCGGGTTCACACACTCACACTCCATGCTAACAGACTCCCACTGATTCACCACTACAGAGATGGAGACAAGATGTACTTTCTGTTAATAAATGGCACATCTATTTAGAGATCAGTCAATGTTTCACTGTTTTTTTTTTTTGACATACCAGTTATTTCAATATTCTAGCATTCAATAACATATATATATATATATATATACACTCACTGGCCACTTTATTAGGTACACCTTGCTAGTACCGGGTCGGACCCCCTTTTGCCTTCAGAACTGCCTTAATTCTTCGTGGCATAGATTCAACAAGGTTTTGGAAACATTCCTCAGAGATTTTTTTTCATATTGACATGAAAGCATCACGCAGTTGCTGCAGATTTGTCGGCTGCACATCCATGATGCAAATCTCCCGTTCCACCACATCCCAAAGGTGCTCTATTGGATTGAGATCTGGTGACTGTGGAGGCCATTTGAGTAAAGTGAACTCATTGTCATGTTCAAGAAACCAGTCTGAGATGATTTGAGCTTTGTGACATGGTGCATTATCCTGCTGGAAGTAGCCATCAGAAGATGGGTACACGGTCGTCATAAAGTTTATTGAGATGCACCTGTATATATACAGTATATATATATATATACAGTATATAAATATATGTATATATTTGCAGCATTTTCTCCTCTGAAACATCAAAATAATAGTTATGACAGTATCATTGTTGATGAACAGTAATTTGCCATGAGAAACCGATTATTTAAATTAGAAAAGGGTGAATATTGGTGTAGAAAAAAAAACTGTGAAAATGTTTTTTGATCAGTCTCTCCATGTAAACATAAACGCAAACATTATCGCATATTCACATATGCACACTTACTAAAGCAGACACGCATGAAGAGAGCGTTTATCCATGCACTCGTTTTTAAACACTCTGTAAATCATATGTGTAATGCGCAGTGCACTTTGTTCTCAGCTGTAACTGTCCTCTCAGATATGCATATCAGACTCTCACATGCCTCGATCCCTTGTTTAAAGCATTCTCTCTAGTCTATGACTCCCTCTAGAGAGAGAAATGTTCTGTTGGATGGTATGCATATTTAAAGCACCCACCCACCCTTTCAAATGCGGTTGGGCTGCACAAGCCCTGTTCAATAGTGAATTAGGACGTCTCACGGGCCATGTGTGAGATTCTATGCAGAGACAAATAAGAATGACTGAGCCATTATTGAGAGTAAATATTCATTAGTTCTCACATTTGTCTTGTTTTCTGTTTGAAGCCAAATCTCGTTTAATCTTTTCTTAACCTGTTTTGCACTATAATGCTGTAATGTACTATGTACACTACCATTCAGTTTGGGGTAATATTCATTCAACAGTAGTATTGTGATTTGGTGCTCAAGAAACATTTCTTACTATCAGTGCAGTGTTGAAAACAGTTATGCTTTTATGGAAACTGTGATTTTTTCAGGATTCTTTGATGAATAGAAAATTCAGTAAACCGCATTTGAAATAGAAATCTTTGTAACATTATTAAAGTCATTTCTGAAATTCTAATTTAATTAATCTTTCAGAATAAATTGGTAAACGGTAATAAAAACGGTAGTGTACATGCATGTTACCAGTCTACAGATCTATCTCTTAAATATTTAAAAATTATTATAACTTACTGCAAAAGGCATTATTAGAGGTGATTCCCGCTGATATCCAATGGCATTTCCATCCATTATGCAGCTATTGTCTAGAAGGCAATAAAAGTCAACTTTAGGATTGAATTGGATCCTGTGCTGCACCTATCACACTTTTTTTGTCATTTTGACAAAATGGTTTTAATCCAAACGACTTCTAATACTTTTTCTTTGGGGCGACATTCCCCTGGAGCAGTCCGGGGTTAATTGCCCTGCTTCAGGAAATTAGGATCAGGGTCCTAAGTGACTCCCTAGTGCATGGATGGCTCATTCCACAGTTTGAACCAGTGACCTTTGGGTACTGAGCTCATCACACATAAGGCCATATGGGATCTAGGCAGGGCAGCAAGTTATTATCAAGGTTTCTTACCTTTAGATTTGCTTGATTAATCTTTCATTCTTTCATTTTTAAACTCTTTGAAGGCCCTGTCATCTCTTTTTCTGCTCTCTCTTTCTCACTCTCGTTCTGATGCACTGTGCTATGGGGTTAGGAGTATATCCGCCGGCAGTTAGAAGAAGAACAAAGGCAGCTGGAGATTCTTCAACAGCAGCTTCTCCAAGAACAAGCTCTTCTCCTGGTAAACTATCATTTCAACTTTCACCTTTAAAGTTCTTGCACTTCCTTTCTTTTCATCTACTGCGCTTATGCCATCTGTCTGTCCCCTCCGCGATCAGTGCACTCACAAAGAATATCAATTGTGTGAATTGATCTGGGGCGTTTGGGATTTGTGACAGCTCTGTTTGTTATTGCTCAGTTCTCGGGGAAATTAGACTCAGGATCCACGGCCATCAGGCCATCGATGGGATTATCTTATAGAGCTGTCGAGTTTGAAGTTTCAAACCTCTGATAGCCTTCAGTTATTTTTAGGAGTACAAAAGTCCAAATCTGTTAGCATTATTTTGTCTCATGTGGTTATCTGCTCCATATCTTGCTGTTTTCATCTCATTCTGGTTCTCTGGTGTGTCTAGGAATACAAACGGAAGCAGCTGGAGGAGCAGAGACAGGCTGAGCGGTTACAGCGGCAGCTGCAGCAGGAAAGGGCCTACCTGGTTTCACTGCAGCAACAGCAACAAGAGCCACGACCTGCAGACAAAAAACAGCTATACCACTACAAAGACTCCGTCAACCCCAGTGACAAACCGGCCTGGGCCAAAGAGGTACAGAAAGATCTGGTTAGGACTCTTACATGATTAGTACTACCTAGGCTTGGGTGAAAGTATTGATTCTCTGATTAATCACAATCTTCCTTTAAACGATCCCAGTATTGATTCATAAAATCCTGAATGTGAGTTTAATTAAAAGACCGTATACTACTGAAATAATGGCAAGCAATGTCTTTCTTTGAGGGCTGCATGCAAAAAGCCTACAACACACCTCGCATAGTCCAATTCATGGACAAATGACTTGTATGAGCCGGTTCATTTTAGTAAATCAAAAACATACACAGCGTTAGTGTAGGCTGATTCACGAAATAAGCATCTCCTATGATTTGGTTCTTTAGTGATTCAACACACATTAGAAAAGCCCGAATCACAAAACAAATGAGTTTGTTCTTTTTAATGAAACAAAACCTAGATTCAGTAAACAAGTGATTTGGTTCTTTTTAGTGAATCAAAAATATACACCATATAAGTATAGCCTGATTCATGAGACAAATGACTTGTTAAATTGGTTCTTTTAATGAATCGTTCAAAAAGGTGAGCTACTGTACCAGTTTGAATCTGAACATTACGCTGTATAATTTACAGCATTAGCAGATAGACAATGTCTTATATGTAAGCAAAATGAACATTATAATTGAAATAAATCCAAATGAATTAGAATCTAATCAAATTTAGCACTGAATCAAGAGCTTATGAATCAGAATCAAATTGAATTAGGAATCTGTATTGATACCCAGCCCTAGTACTCATTGTCAAGAATCTCCAGTCACTGATTGTAAACATTATATGTCAGTTTTCTCATTTGCCCTTGCTAATTGCTTCATTTTATCAAATTCTTCAGGTTTGGTGCCCACATATGATGAATCTCACTTCCTGTAAATAACTTTTCCTTTAGTTTCAGAATCATCTGGATGATGTTAGATTATCACGCTCTGAAGTGGCCTCCCCTGCATCTTCAGTTTTGTGGGTCATAATCTGAATGGTTTTATTGTGCTTATCTGAACACAGGTGATGGAGAGAGCTCAGAGTAACTCTCCTCGAATCCCTCCCAAGAAGCACCATTCGTTTAACAGTCCTGGAGAAAAACGTGTTGGCCAACTCCTCCCTCTTGACAAGAGCTCCTCTAATCAGCCCACGAGGCCCCCCTCCTACCCAGCAGCCTCCCACTCAAGAGAGATGGAGCTGGCCGAGCCTCAGCTCAGAATAACCAGTGGGCCAAATGTTCCTAGAATCCGTGTGTCTTGCGAGCCAGATCCATCCCAGCTGGTCAGGATGGTCCAGCAACATCTTGAGCAAGAGTCCCGGGGCCGCAGTCCCGGACACTCCAGCAAAGGGGCTGATACTGAGAGAGACTTATACGTCTCAAAGGTCTGCCTCCGCTAGCATGACTTATGACTTGTCTCCTTTTTCGCCATGACCTAGATGCCTACCAATCTGGTCATGGAACATATTCAAAGAATTAATGCGGAAAAATACCTTTTTCCAAAAACTTTTCGGGGCATTTGAATTATCTCTTTTGGAATGCCTTGTTTCTGTTTTCCTCTGGTTCTCTGGGTGAAAGTATTCCTGTAGGTTCTGTCTCCCAGTTAGTTTGGTGGATTTTCTTCTGACAGCTTCCGCTCTTGCTGTAGTCTTGTTCTAATTTTCTGTCATTTTCTCTTTGATCTCACCTATCGCTCCTCATTACAGAAAGCTGATGACAGAGGAGCATGGGATTGTGGGGCAAAAATGAGAGAGGTTTGGATGTGTTGGGCCACAAAAGCTTTAGACCAGTGGTTCTTAACCAGTTTGACTCCAAGGTCCCCATTATAAAATTTATATTTGAAGGCCCACCAAGATATTTTTGATACTTGTATCATAATGACAAAGCTGCTAATTTTCAAAGTTTTTATTTACAGAAACTAGTATTGGCAAAATATTAAAATAAAATCAGTATAAATCATTAAAATCATTAAATTCCACAATCCCAATGTCTGAATGTTCATGTTTACACATTTTTATTACCAATAAATTTATATGACTTTTTTTTTGTAAATACAGTTTTTAAATTATTTGTTTATTCACAAATAGCAGTTTCTACCCAATAAAATATTATATCTTCAAAAAACAAATTAAAATAAGAAATATGCTCACATATGGATTTTTTTAGCCATTTTAAATAATTCTAAACCTTGTTTTTCCTATTTTTAATTCATCCTGCCAGCCCACTTGGAAGTTTGCTGAGGCCTCCTAGTGGGTCCTGGCCCCCTGTTTGAGAACCACTGTTTTAGACATTGATCAAATTACATTGACACATTGATTACATTGATAAAAAGGTTGTTGATAAGGGGTTGTGTGTTACTTGTAGGCACAGATTGTGCTCTGAAGATTGTGTGTCATTTCAGATTCAAACATCCCTCCATTCTTAGAGAAGAAATAAACATGGTTTTCTCACTAATGAGTCTTTCTGTCCCATTGGTCACCCGACTTCTAGGATGGCCATAAGTGATTCTTTTCTTGTCTGAAAATGCTTGTGAATGGTGCATGACAGTATTGAGGCTTGTTGTTTGAATTTGAAAATTCACAGCATCTCCTTTAACATACTGGACGTAATGGACTAAACGTTTCCTTTCTGTCTTTAACCTGATTATATTTCTTTTTCTGTTGTTTGGTTGTATGTTTCATCTTTGCTTATTGAGTCATTTGATTGGGCCTGCGGAAGTGAATAAAAGATTATCTTCAGTCAAGCTAAGGGAACAGGTCTAAAAATATCTAAAATGCCTCATAATGAGGCCGTCTCCTTAATTTGGGACAGGCGGATTTCTGCAAAGATTTAGAAACTCAATCTTGGGTGATTATGTGAATGCTAAAGATGAATAAGATTGACAGAGTCTACAGGTCTCATCAACATATTATTAGCTGTTCTTATATAAAGGCAAATTATAATTTGTTTCTATTTTTAAATATATACAGTTAAAATGTAAATATTTAAAATTAGCAGAAGTTTGATTTTTACCATAGTAAACTAGTATGTTGTGCAACTCTTGTGTAGATCCTACTGCAGGGGTCACCAAACTCGGTCCTGGAGGGCCGCTGTCCTGCAGAGCTTAGCTCCAACCCTAATCAAGCACACCTGAACCAGCTAATCATGGTCTTACTAGGTATACTTGAAACTTCCAGGCAGGTGTGTTGAGGCAAGTTGGAGCTAAACTCTGCAGTACACCGGCCCTCCAGAAACGAGTTTGGTGACCCCTGTCCTACAGTGTCACATATTAGCCACTTTACATGTTTCACAGTCCATTCTGACTCTCAAGCAAAGAGGAAACAGATTGGTTGTGAAGAGTTGCAAGGACACTAACATCGTCTCTGTCTGTCAGGTTGAGGAACGCTCCAAGCTGAACCGCCAGAGCTCTCCGGCTCTCCAGCACAAAGTGGCCAATCGTATTTCCGATCCCTCCCTGCCTCCCCGCTCAGAGTCCTTCAGCAGTGGAGGCATACAGCAGGCCCGGACACCTCCCATGCACCGCCCGGTAGAGCCTCAGGTACTTCCTGATCTCCTGATCTGTCTTTAGAGAGACAGATGTGTTGTGAAATACACTGACCTCAGAGTTCTCCTTTCAGATGGCGCACCTGGTCTCTGTGACGTCCCATGGCTCTTCCATGACAGGATCCCAGTCGCTGCATGATCAGTCCTCTCAGGGCGTCTCAGCCTTCCAAGAGGGTGTGTCACCTCACAGACCTCCGATGCCTCGGCAGAACTCTGACCCCACATCAGAAACCCCGGCCCCACCACCTCGCATCACCAGCCGAGACGACAAGTTTGACCGCAGCTCTTGGCTGAGACAGGAAGATGATGTCCCTCCAAAGGTGATAATCTGGGATAAAATGTGTTGACATTAATAGTAATTCATTTGGAGTCGTGGTTCTCAACTGGTGGATCTGAAGTCTTTTCTGATTGGGTCTCAGAAAGCAGAGAAATATCATTGCTGAATTTGAACCATAATATGTAACTGACCAAATAATCAAGCATAGTTAAGACCACTAAATTTAAAGGCTTGACAGTTTTAAAAAGTGTTTAAAAAACACTATATATTTGTCAAAGGCTGTGCATCCAATCAAACTCTACAATATTTTGGCACAAATTGATTTGTCACTTTGTCGAGCCTATCCTAGCCAAACTCATTCTTAAACCTCTAAATATAGCTATACAAAGTATTAGAAAATATGACTCATACTACATTAAATAGCGTTTTTTGAAACAAAAAGTGCCATAATTTATTTTATTATTATTTATTTATTTTATTATTTTCTGTCATATTCCTCTCATTTAAAGGCACAATATGTAATTTTGTGCCACTAGAGGGCGTGTATTCAAAACAAACAAAGAAACAAAGGCGTAGTTAGATGACGCCGTGACTGGGTGTGGAATCATGGGAGTTGTCGTCTTTATCCCCACAGCCGAAGTAGGGGTGCAACGGATCGTAGATGATCCGTGATCCGTTCGGATCCGGCTGCACAGTTCGGCACGCATGTGATTCGCGGATTAACTGTTAAGTTTAACCATCATATAGTTAAAGTTGATCATTTGCACATGTTTTGTCTTGCCAGTTTACACATTCAAGCAATTTTAACTCGCGTGCTGTTTTCTGTGCGCTCAGCCGCTGCCGCGCGCACACGCAGAGAGAGAGACGGCGCGTGAATCAAGGGGTTATGACGTCATTGGCAGGCAACAGAATGACACTATAGACACAGTCCGTGTCACTAGTTAAATTTGCTTATTTCTCTGGATTTAAACATTCTTCTAAACATAATGTAAGTACACAAGTCAGCAAAATATATAAAACTGTTCTAGTGGTTTTGGGATATTTTAATAAAACAAATCTTACATATTGTGCCTTTAAATAATTATTAGCACAGTTTAATGTCCGTGTTTTATTTTAAGGACTATTTATTTACTATTGTACGATTAACGATTTTAGTACTGTATTGGATCATAACTTGATGTCAAAGGTTAAATCTGTTTCTTGAACCAAAACCGGTTGAGATCCATTGCTATAGAGTGCAATTCATTCATAAATGTGTAATGCATTACTAAATGCGATGATATAGGTTATAAAAAACAATGCCTATATTTAAAAAAGCTGTTTTTTCTAATGCATCTACATAAAGTAACATTTTAACATCTGTTGCCATGGTTTAGGTGCCCCAAAGGACCACTTCCATATCCCCTGCACTGGTGAGAAAAAATTCTCCAGGGAATGGACCGGGTGGACTGGGACCAAGAACCGGAGCACATCTGTTCCGAGCCAGGTATTTTCCACTTTTTATTAAATTATGTTTTATTTGAAATTAATTTTACACATGTATAGATAAAGGTCTAAAGCCCCTTAAGTGAAAGATTAATTTTTTTAATATAAATAATTAAAATCATTATTATTATTTTTACTCGCAAACAGCACTTTTTACTTTACTTTTTTTATACCTTTCAATTTTTACTTTTACTTTTATCAAGAGATGTGTTCAGTTTGTATGTGGCTTCTTGCTATTTCATATAGTGGTGTGGTTGCCAGTAGTAAGTGAATAAGAAATGACAATCTCCTTCCTTGTGTCCTACCGTTGGCACAGTAACCCAGACCTGCGGATTCCCATGGAGTCGGCTCTCCAGAGAACCAGCAGTGGGAGTTCTTCCAGTTCTAGCACGCCCAGCTCTCAGGCCGGCTCCAGCGAAAGAAATAGTGTGGGAGGTGAGAGACCCTCTGGAATATTCTCTCAGTCTGAGCACCTGAACTAGAGCTCCGCACACCGAGTCTTGACGTTCGATTGTCTCCACAGGCTCCAGTAAACCTGAGGGATCCCCAGCAGTGTCCCAAGAATCCAAGCCCAAAACCCAGGAGGAGAACAGAGAGGTGACCAGACCTAGCAGACCAGCGGTGAGAAGCACAATTCCCAGAATCCTCTGAGATCACAGTATAACTGTGTTGCAAATGTTTCAGCTCTCACAGGGCTGGTTTCCGAGACCAGGATAAGCCTAAAATGAAAACATCTAACCCTAAACTAACTTATTTTTAAGATCTGCACAGTTGTTGATGTTCTTTCCAAACATGATGTCTTAACCATCAATTAAATACCCCATTAAATCAAAAATAGAGTTGTGTGGCTTTCAGTTAATGTCTTTTAGCTTTTATGTCATCTATATGTGAGATGTGTTTTATAAAAAGTACAAGTCCTTCAATATGCCCCACCCAAACTTCCTGTTTCAACAGGAAGTACGTCAATGCAGCGATTTTATGGGGTCTTTAATATATCACCAGTAAATCAAGTCTCATTTGAGCTAACCTACTCATAACCTTTCCATAACCTTTAGCTAGCTTGTGTAGATACTCTCACTTGGCTCGAAGTTGAAAAGATTGTGTGTCGCTTTGTGTTACTAACCATTTTCTCATTTAACATTTTGTCTAATCCGCTCAAATGTTCCTCCACGCGTGGTTCTCTATTGTCAATTCTCTTTCTCCAGAGTTATAAGAAAGCCGTAGATGAGGTTAGTGACATCTCCTCACTTCATCTCTCTCTGCCCATGTTCGTGCTCCTTAGATTTAAGCACTCGTTCGCTGTCTGTCTCATCTATTTCTGTCACACGCCCTCTCATCTTCAATCGTTCTCTCATCAATATTTCACGCCGTCTCTCATTCCTTAAATCCCTTCCAATCTTTCTGTCTTTCGCTCTCTTTCACAGCTTCAGACGCCGTGTCAGTCACCATCATTAGCTGCACATTTCTCCATCGCACCAATTTGTCACATTCGTTCACATTGTCAGTAATCCTTGACACCGTTTCAGAGTTTTCACTGTTACCTAGGCAACATCTGTCTTAGGCCACGGAAAAGGGATTTTTTGTTTGTTTGTTTAGAAGTAATGTTACATTTAGGGGTAAAAGAAGGGCCCTGCAGTTATTTAGCTTTTTAAGGTTATTTAATTCTTTAACTATTTAAGAATATTAACTTTAATCGATTTAATCAGCAGACCTTTTATTTAATTTGACGTGAACAAAAACAAGGAAGTGAGGGATAGAAGTACAGAGCATTCAGTTGTTATCATTCTTAGCCAGAAACTTTTTCTGTAAATTTGTTTGTAATTGTCATTCATAAATACATTGTCATGTTCCATACAAGTAGATGAGTTAAACAAATTTGTGGAAATTGTTTGTAAAACCGTTCCTGTGTGAATTGTCACATTTATTTCAAATCAAATCAAGTTACTTTAAAAATCATTCGCAAAGCCATTATTACATAAATTGATGCAAAAAGTCAATGTGAGCTGTAAAGCAGTACGAAATTCTGTGTAAATCATTCATAGAATAATTTTTGCGTAAACTCAGTCATTGTGAGCGGAAAAAAAAACATTTGAAATTGTGTAAATTTTTTCCAAGTGTTGCATTAACCTAAGATGAGCAGAATGAGCTTGTTTAAATAGTTTCGTAAAACTATTCTTTCGTAAATTGTTACGTTCAGATCAATGTAAGCAGATGATCAAAACTAATTTCTGTGTGTAAGTTGTTTGTATTAACCGTGTTTACGAATATCGTCACATTCTGTTTAATGTGTCAGTTTGCGTGAGAATGATTTAGCGAACAGTTTACAAAGAAATTTCATCAGAAACAAAATCATTTTAGTTTTAGATAACACAAAATTTTTCGCAAACAATGTTTCATGGGTTTTGTGACCACATAAATTTGTGGATGGACATTTTCGTCAACTGACACCCAGGTAGTCAACAGTACGACATATTGAATGTACTGTACTTCTGTTCCACTGAACTTTTTAATTTGTCTCAAATATGACGAGATTATGTATTTTAAACATAAAAAAGACAAGATTGTGTCGTTAAACAATCTTGCATTTTGCTCTAGATTGTTCACAGCACCTCACTCCAGGCCTTAGGTTGTATATTTAGTCAAAAATTGAAATTTGCATCTCATTCAAGCATCAGTGTTTAAATATAAGAGCACAAGAGTTGACTTCTGGTTTCTCAATGGCATTTTCTTTCTATCTGGCTGCCTGGTGGCCTGTCGACAGGAGGAGCTGGTAAGACAGAACCAGAGCGGGAACTGCTGATTCCTACTAACCTTCTGCATGCAGGGCACAGGCCTCAGGAACAAACCCTAATGTTCTGGTCTATTATTTCTCTGACTTGAGCACGTGATGGTTTATACAGTTGTGCATCATTCTTTGAAATGATGGCGGATGTTTTTATCCCACTTTCAGAGTTGATTTGTAAAGCTTTATAAAATATTTTAGTTAATTTGCTTATCTGTGATGTTTTGCTTATTTGTTTGTTTCTGGTAATCTCTTCGGTGCCATTTACATGACCTAAATGTGCAAAACGAAGTTTATTGTCATGATTCCTATTAACAGATACATCACTGTAGTGTATGCTCTTTGCAGGCTTAAAACCTGAACTGCTGTTCACATTTTACTGAATTCATTGTTCACTGGAGACCAAATCAAGCAGATCACGGCATGAAAGAAATCTTACCCATCTTCTTTGTGTCTTCCTCTCCCTTCTGACCTGACCCGTCATTCCCTGCCCTAAAGGACCTCACTGCTCTGGCCAAAGAACTCCGTGAGCTGCGAACCAATGAGGAATCCAACCGGCCTCCCAGGAAAGTGACTGATTATTCCTCATCCAGTGAGGAATCAGAAAGCAGTGAGGAGGAGGATGGAGAAGGCGGGGCTCATGATGGAACGGTGCCCGTTAGTGATATTCCACGCATCATGTGAGTGTTTTAACAAATGAAAAATTTTGATTTTTGTAGATTTTAGTCTGTCAGATGGTGTTATTTTAGTATTACTTATATATAATATTACAGCATTTATTAATGTTTGGAACTGGCTTTTTGTTAGTCTGGTTGTTTGATGTGAGAGAGATTAAATGTAACTATAGCAGTGGAGGACTATTATTCTGTTGCACAGAACTGAAGAAGACCTGATGACGGCACCATTTGTGGGCGGTGGGCTATTTATCCATTTTCTACCCCTGAACGTAAAAACTAAAAATCAAGGCGAATTCTTGTTTTTTCCTTTTTTGAAAAAACGAGAAAATAACAATTTTCTCATGTTTCTGTTTTAAATATTAAATCAAAAAATGAATGGACCATTATAGAGTATAGATGGTATTATGTATAAGGTAAATATATCAGGTAAAATCAAGTGCATTGTATTGTGGGATACAGTACCCATAGCAGAATGGATAGTGCTACATTTGCCAAATGTACGTAGTAGGTTATTAGTATCTATGCATGCAGAAGATTTGTAAAATGTACACTGTGTACATACTATATACTGCAGAAACAGTTTATATAGTATGTTAGTATTTAATAGTATTTATATAGTTATATTAGTAGTTAATAGCCTGCATTGTCAACTAAATGTCTTATTTCAACACAGAAAAGGTAAATTGTGTTGGTCTTTAAAATGTCTTATAGAAAGCTTCATCATTTAGAGGCTTTTATATGTATTGTTTTGCCCTATTCTCCCAACAGGCCTTCTGCTGGCCAGGGTGGCACTGACTCACTGGCCAACCAGGAGGATTCTCATGCCAATGATTCATTTGGCAAAAATTCACAAGACAGCACCCTGATGATGCGGGAGGTAGGTGCACCTACATAGACAGGTTCCTTTCCTGGTTAGCAAAAACTCCTACACTCATTCCTCTAGTGTCACAGTTTTATTTCTCTTTAAGTTTACCAACTCATGTTTATTTTTGCCTTGGTTAAGCCTTATTTTATTGGGTTATATTTAGTTGTTTCTTTCACCTCTTTTGCTTCTGAATTCTCCAACAAAATCTCTGATCAAGCTCGCTGCACACTTGCTGACAGAGGCACCCTCTGTGCATTTCCCAAATATCTCTGTAAGATGGCTTAGCCACGCAAGGGGCCTGCAGTAGTGTAGCCCTACTCCTCTTTCTGTTCCTCTCTGCAGACGTTTGGGGAAAGAAAGCTCGGTCATGCCGAGAGCAATGGTTTCCCCGGTAACTCCAATCTGCCTGATCTAGTGCAGCAAAGCCACTCGCCTGGCGAGGGCCCTGGGCGGCTTTCTAGTGGGCTGGACCTGGACTCTGTGGCTGAAGTAGGTGATGGACAAGCCTGTTAGAGCCACTCTGCACTCCAACCCTCAAATTTCTAACCCGACACATCTAATCCATCCCCATTCGATTCAAATGCACATGTTTATCTGGCTGTAGATTCACAGAAGCCCAGATCTCTTCAGAACTCACATTGCTTTTCTTGGTTTTACATTTTTTTTCTATTTGGTTCTTATTTATTCTCTTTATTTCATTTACTATCATTTTAAGCTTACATTTTTTAAACATAAAACATGTAGGACAGCAGCCAGTCAATAATATGCTTTCTTCCCATTGCCCCATTTTCCCCTTCTTGTAAGTGCCCTGATTAAAAAAAAAATAATAATAATAAAAATAAAAGTTAAAGAAAAAAATTATAATCAGTATTTTTCAAAACATCATTTTAACAAGATGAATTCATTAAAAAAAATTGTGCAACGTATCCATTTAAAAGTTAAGGGTCAGTAATTTTTTTAAAAATCTTATGCTCACCAGGTCTGATAAAAAATACAATAAAAGCATTAATAATGTGAAATATTACAATTTAAAATAACTGTTTTCTATGTTAATATTTTAAAATGTAATTTATTCCTGTGATAGAAATCATTCTAATATGATGAGTTGATGCTCAAGAAACATTTATCATTATTATTAATGTTGAACACGTTGTGTTTCTTATTTATGTGGAAACAGTTTTACTTTTTTCAGGATTCTTTGAATAGAAAGTACAAAAGAACCGGTTTTGTAACATTGTAAATGTATTTACTAGGGGTGTAACGGTTCACAAAATTCACGGTTCGGTTCGATACGACACAGGGGTGTCACGGTTTGGTATGTTTTCGATACAGCAAAAACAAAGAAATGCCAGACAAATTTCCTTGATTTTTTTTTTTA